AGATATTGTTTAGGGAATCGCATCTGGCGATGATAAGATCGATTTGAACTTGGATGTCTCCAGGATGCTTTGTGGAAAGATTTGTTCTGAAAATATGTGTTTGTCACACAATTTATGATAGCAGCAGAATACTAGGAATCTTTGGCCATTCTCACTTATTTTCCCTATACCACAGTGACCTAAAACGTACCATTGATCTGCGCCCACTCTCGCATTTAATTCTCCTAGAACGTAAATATGTTCATATACTGGGATACGCTTGACGATGCTGTCAAGTTTAAAGTAGAACTAGTTTTTATCTTTGGATGAGGGTTAGTGTGTTGGTGCATAAATGCACGCAAGGTTTAAAGACCTTTGTATGTAGAGAGGTGAAGGATGAGAATTCTCTATGCCGCCTGCTATAATTTAAATCATACGGAGCAGGATGTTTTTAACAGCGAATCCACCTTCATATTCCCTGTATTCATCCACTCCTCTCCCCTGCCAGAAGAAGGTGTAGTGTTCTTCCTTCAGAGATCCAGTGTCTGGAAATCATGTTTCCTGTAGAGCTGCCACGTCAATGTTCAGTCTGTTTTGCTCACGATCGATCACTTGCAGTCTTGCGAGAGTCATCAATTTTCTGAAGGTCATCAGATAGACCTATGCGCATGGCTCGCATATTCCAGTTTGTAATAGGAAGATCTGGATTTTTCGTTTATTTATTTTTTTTCCATTTTACTATTTATTATGCATGGTTATCGATCTGCTTGTTAAGCTACCAGCTATAAGTTTCAGGAACCCACTGAAGAAGGCAGACCCTGGCGGTTCAATACACAATTGTCTGGGGATTACCCGGCTTGAGGCGGGCGGTAGTTGATCAAAATATACAATGATTCCCCCACCACACACATACACACATGTCAATCAATGAAGCATTAATTTTTAACCCGTAAAAAGCTGTTTTCCGGGTGATGAGACTGGAGTGACCTCTCCTAGACTCACGCCTGACCGATGGTATAGGGAGGCTGTGCGCTGCCCAGACCACATGCCCCCCCCCAAAAAAAAACTCTTGGACGTACCGACAAAATCCAAAGGAATACAAGGCATTACATTTGGGATCACCTTGAATGCAGGAGTTGCCGGAAAGTTGTCAGTGTTGACAGCCAACCGTCTTCGGGTTTCTACTCCAGATATATATTCTGTCTGGATTTACTACCATAGCCTTTCGATGTTTGGGTATGGCCGCAAGGCAGCAGAGGTTTAAAATTAGGGTTTTTTCCTTTCTCGAGATGGATTGTCTTCCTGGGCTGTCGAGCTCCAGCTGCAGCTAGTTATGAGGCGCAATTTGCCCGCCTTCGCCTCTTCTCCGGCTTGGAGTTGGACTTAGTTGTCAGTGGCTATTTGAGACGAATGTCATGGGAGCATTTTATAGACAGTAGGAGCTTGTCTCCACTACCACACCCGGATATGACAACCTTTGGAAGATTTATAATGTATATATATATATTATGTGTTTTAGAAGCTCCCAATAAATTAACATTTTTTTTAAAGTAATAACACGAGAAAACAAGACAATTTACGAAATAGTCGTACATAAATAAAGACTGAAATTCGATAACTGTAGAAAAGGTAGACGAAATAAAAAGCACAGATATAATTTGGGATTTAAGCCTGAGATACACAGAGATTATGATTTACAACATCAAAAATAATCTATACAACGTTTTTTGACATTACTAACACTTAAACTATCAATTGATAATATAAATAAGGGTAGAATAGGAAAAGTTGATAAATCTTACTTTAGATAAGCAAAAACGTAAAGTAAAGGTATGACAAATAATGTTCAAGATTGTTGTAAAAAAAAAACAGTCGAGATTTAAGCCTAAATACTTGGAGATTATGAAGTCATTATTTATAGCATACAATAAAATAATTTATGCCACCATTTTGACAGTACTAATACCTAATATATCAATTGATAAAAAGTGAACAAGAGTAGAAAGTGAAAAGTTGATAAATATAACTTTAGGTAAGCAAAAACAGTTAAAAAAAAATAAGTAAAAATAAAAGTAAAAATAAGACACGCGATTTTCAGGTAGGTTGTATAAAAAAAATAAAAATGAATACAGAAAAACGCGGCTACTGTGGAAAAAGTGAAAAGAAATAATAATAAACAATACATATATAACTTGAAATAAATATAATATTCATAATAAATTTTTGTGATGTCAACGAAAACGCGTTGCCACTTTTGTAATGCTCATTGTAGTAGAAGCTTTGTAATCGCAGATACAACTATAGTAACGCCGTTGAACAATACTGATGTTAGACGCCTTCGAATAACACTCGCACTAATAGTACTTACTCGATAATACTCGCTCGGAAAGTAACCACTGAATAGTGATCAGTATAGAGAAATAGTGTAGAAATAGGGAATAGTATAGAGAATAGCGAATAGCAGTAGAAGATAGAATAGAAATGGTGATCGCTTAGATGACACGCTATTTCCTACTTATGTGTTTCCCCCACGGTCACATGATCTATTAAATTTAATAATGGGATCGCTTGTATTTGTTCTCTGGCGATCCGTGTTCAAACTCCAGTGTCGGCAGCGATACTTTATTCCTATATAGCATAAATAAAATAAAAAGACCAATAATTACAAATTGTACTAAATTTTTATATTATTTTAAAGCAATATTTAATGTTTTTTCAGTTAAATTTAAAATCCGTTAATTTTGAGGGCTTCGAATAAACGCGTCATCTCTCCTTGATTTCAGAACGGCATCATATTTCAGGTAGAGCTATATTTTTGCATATCGTAAGTTTCTCCTCTCAGGTCGTGGAAGTGTTCCCAGATATATTTGTTCCATCTTTGAAATATTTTATTCTTCTTTTATGAGCGTTTCCTATTTTGATTTTATGCATCCCTGTCGAAGAGCACGTCTCTTTCTTTATTTTTTTTTTTTTTTAATCATTTCACCCCCATGCAAGGTGTTAATGCTACATAGACGCATGGGATGACTGGGAGTGAAAGAAAATGAGAAGACAGCGACTGACGTCGAGCAGTTATAAATCCTTGCCACCCTCTTAAAATCACCAGTCGATTTCCTTTCCTAGAAATAAAGACTTTCTCAAAGTCATGAATTGTTTGGCAATGTTGACCAAACAGGCTAGAGTCTGGAAGTGACAGATTTTGGAGAATACGCTACCCTTGGAAGAACTTTTCATTCCAAGTCTATGTTAGTGTGCCACCTCGCATATACAAAATTACAATGACCCACGCAGTAAAATCACCGTCTGTTTTTCTTACCTAGAAATAAAGACTTTTCTTCAAATTTGTGTCAAGTCTAAATGGGACAGTTTTTGGAAAATATACGGCATGTGTATCAATTTCAGTTGCGCTCCCCAAAATATTTGGTTAACTCAGTAATTTTATGGCCTTATCATAAACCGAATATTTTACGTGACAAATATTTATTTTTAAGCAAAATCTTGCTTGTCAATGCACTTGATTCAGTGGTGAATAATATTTTTTTTCTTTTTTACAGTAAGGTTTACCGAGTACAAGGTTCGGGGAGTCACTCGAGGTAGAGGATTGTATTAAGAGGCAGTTTATGCGGATAGGAGAGTGAAGATATCAGTTAACCCCAGATTTGAACAGGTTAAGATTGTAGTGATCGGAGAAACATTCTCTTGGGAATCGGTTCCACAGAGAAATGTTTCGCATAAAGAAGTTGCTCGAGGGAACGTACTACTCCCTGATGGAACATGGAGGAAATGTGGGTGATTTTCTGCAATGTGAGTGGCTAGTGTGAGGGTTAGAATTGGCGGTACGAAAGAATGTAGTTCGTCCGAGCACTTTCCATGAAAGTAGCTATAGAGGAGTGAGAGGCTTGTCACATCCTACCTGTGAGATAGAGGTTCTAAGGTGAAAAAAATAATTTGTCACCCACAAGAACTCGGAGAATATATGAATATATATATATATATATATATATATATATATATATATATATATATATATATAGGTAAAATGAGAACAAATGAAGTATAATTCCAGTGTACATAACATTTAATTTAAAGGGGGCTAAATACAGAGTAAAGTAAACACTATTTATTTTAGGATATTAAACACTATTTATTTTAGGATATTGAAAAACTATTATAACCGATTTTAAATTTTAATACATATAAAACATGTTAAAACCTATGTTTCAACACTACAAATGTGTTTTTTCAGGCGATACATCACCCGAGGAGACACGTTTGTAGTGTTGAAACATAGTTGCCATTATGCAGCCATTTTCATATCCTAAAATAATATATATATATATATATATATATATATATATATATATATGGTTGGATTGCTGTGAGTTTGTGACCCTGGGTCTCACACTAATGCGATCGTCAGATCAATCCAACCAAATATGTTGGCTCTATCTCTGATATTGAGCGCTTTCTAATAAGTACCGCGCATATAGTATAAAGGATATTTTTAGTGAACGTTTCAGATAAAAAAAATCAGCTCCGTGTCAGAGAACGGAATTATTAATTCACCCACATAGGTAAACAGATAGACATATCAGTAAGGAAACATTTTTATTAATAACAGAATCTATTAATATTTAAAGTTTACAATCTATTTCAACTTTTTATAGAAAATATATGTTTATTAAAATTACTGTATGATGAGTTCTTTCTTTAAATTTCCCCTTTAATTTTTAAATCATCCCCATTCCCATTTGCTAGTGAAGAAGTGTCGAAATCCAACACAATTTCGAGACGATGCATTTTCCTAAATAAAGACTTGATCTGACACGATGCAAAGTGAAACTACTTTCATTATCGATCCTATGATATGGGCAAAATCGATTTAGTTTTTATCATCTGCGCTGTCTGAACAGACATATAGAGACAAGCTACTTCTTCTTCATCGACATTGCGACAACAACCCACAACAGTTAACCAATTCATCTTGGATCGGTTTTCACCTTGGTTTTTCTGATTGACCCATGGTGGATCCAAAAGATCTTGCATCCATTGTCCTCTCTCTCTCTCTCTCTCTCTCTCTCTCTCTATTCTTTTTTTTCTTCACACTGCCACTCTCTGTTTCTTGGTATCTATCTATTTTCTTTGGTCCTTTTCATATAAGGATTAGTATTGTTACTGCGGTTATGTCAGCTGATGCTGTACTTTCTCGCCGCCCCACCCCCACCCCGCTTCATCTCTTCTATCTTGTCTACTTTAGATTATAGTGTCCATATAGACTAAGCACTACATTCACCTCACTTTATAATACGCGCGCGCACATACTTTTCTCTCCCTCTCTCGATCTGATATCGGATATAGGATGAATATAATTTTTTCACAACAGTCGTCTCAATTAATATTCTCTACTCTCTCTCTCTTTCTCTCTCGAGTCTACTAGAGGTTATATTATCTATACTGTCATGTCATATAGCTTTCACCGATGTTGACAATACAAACTCCTCCTACTTTTCTTGATTTCCTGTGAGATATTGTGTAAGTATAATTTTATTAATACGGTTGTCTCAGTCGATACGCTATATTCTCTCTCTTCTATATATATATATATATATATATATATATATATATATATATATATATATATATATATATATATCTTGTATACTGTATATTATAGAGTCCATATTATCTTGTTACAGCTATCGCTCTCTCTCTCTCTCTCCTTCTCTTGGTCACCCAGAGGATATAGTGTCAGTATAATTTTGTTACTATGGTCTCTTCAGACTATATATATATATATATATATATATATATATATATATATATATATATATATATATATATATATAGCAAAAAAATCAAAAAATAACCTCAACGTCAGGCTGAGATAATTTTTGTGTTTTTACAGTAAAAAAATATATATACCCTGTTAAAACATCGAGGTCTCTGTGGATCAGTTTTAATAGTTTATATTACTAGAATCCACTCGGATTATATACCAACGCATAACATGTACTATATATATATATATATATATATATATATATATATATATATATAAAACAATGCACCTACAAGATGCTTAGGGGCTGATGTTAGCCGCGCACAGAACGGCATGAAATAGACTATCCCTATATTGTGGTAATTTTTGTTTTTTTGCTGTAAAAAATACATATGCCCTGTTAAAATAGAAACATCGAGCTCTCTGTGGATCAGTTTTAATACTTAATATTACTATGATCCACCCGGATTATATACCAACGGATCGATTACCTGTACTATATATATGCACACACACATATATATATATGTGTGTGTGTGTGTATGTATGTATGTATGTGTCTCTCTCTCTCTCTCTCTCTCTCTCTCTCTCTCTCTCTGGTCTACTGTAAATTATACACTCTATATTGTTTTGTAACTGTGGTCACCTTAATTGATAACCTAGTCTTATTCTCTCTGTCTCTCCGACAGGTTATAGGGTCAGTATAAATTTTTTATAATGGTCTCCTCAGTTGCTTTAGATATTTTCTCGATCTTTTTCTTTCCTAGGGGATATAGGGTTAATATAATTTTCTTACTCTGGTTTCCTTAATTGATATAGATACGTTCTCTCTCTCCCTCGGGATATAGTGTCAGTCTAAATTTTTTACAATGGTCTCTTCAGTTGATACAGACACTCTCTTTCTTTCTCTCACTCTCTCTCTCTCTCTCTCTTCCCCCGACAGAATATAGGGTAAGTACAAGTTTGTTACAATGGTCTCTTCAGATGATATAGGTACTTTCTCTCTCTCTCACACTCTCTATTTAAGTCTCTCTCTCTCTCCCCCTCTTCCTACAGGATATAGTCTCAGTATAATTTTGTTACAATGGTTTTTTTTCAGCTGATATAGATGCTCTCTTCTTTCTTGATCGTTCTCCTGTACAAGATAAAGTGTCAGTATAATTTTGTTACGATGGTCTCCTCAATTTATACAGACACTCTCTTTCTCTCTGTGTCTCCCCGACAGGATATAGGGTCAGTATAAATTTGTTACAATGATCTCTTCAGTTGATATAGATACTCTCACTCTGTGTGTGTATGCGTCTCTCTCTCTCTCTCTCTCTCTCTCTCTCTCTCTGCTCTCTCTCTGCTCTCTCTCTCTCTCGTAAAGTCAATGGAGTTTTGTTACAATGACCACCCCTGTTGATATAAATACTGTCTCTCTTTCGCTGGTCTACTGTGTACAGTCCGTATTGTCTTGTCACTGCGGTCGCCTTAGTTGATAACCTAGTCTCTCTCTCTCTCTCTCTCTCTCTCGCGCCCTTTATACCTTCTCTTTCATCTGCTAACACCCTCATCTAGTTCGTACCGTTCATATTTCATTGCTTAATTTCACGGACCTCCTATACCGCATTGAAAGAAGAATATGTATTATTTATTTTGCTGTTCTCATAAATAAAACAGACGTGACACAATCTTTTGCGTTTCTTCGTATTCATAGCGAATAGCAACCCCATTCCTCATATAAAAAAATATATTTAAAACTTTCTGTTCTTGGACTCCAATATGCTCAGTTCTGAGAAAGTATTACTATCTGATTGATGGACGAAAATAGCCACGAGTTGTTTTCGACATTTTTGTGGGCAACAGTCAACTGCCTCTGTTGAAACAACGAACAGATTGGAAACAAAATTCTTACATTTTCTTAGCAGCATCAGACTTCATATTCAGAAGTTTACATTCTTTAATTATTTAGAATAAACTTTGAAGCATTCACTTTATGCTACTTGTTTGTAACCAACAATGCAAAAATCGCAAAGGCACTAATTACATCTACAATTGTTAATTCTACTAGTTAAAAGCCTTCAGCACTCTGTAGGTGACTATTTTCACCAAGCAAAATGTTAGAATATTTAGCCCCCCCCCCGAGGGTTGCATGTGGCACAAGGCCGGGTTTAACGTGGTTTCTCCGAGCCCATAGGCTCGGTCAAAAAATGCCCGTAGAACCCGCATAAACGGTATCGGGTTGGTCAACCTCCCCGAACGATACTCTGCCCTTCGGCTGAGCCTCGTCCGGGTTCCTCTCTGCTCAGAAACAGAGAGTTCAACCGTCTAGCCGAAAAGCGAAATGTTAGTCCTGCCAATGTAAGTTGAATTTGAATTTCTTGGTTGTATAATCATATCCTTCTATGGTAACACCTGAAACAATATCAACTGAAATTGAGATCCAGGCTACTGAAATTTTAAATATATAGAATTAATATCGAAAAGACTGTATTTTAAGTGGATTCCATATACAATAAAAGAGAAGAAATATTTATAAATGATGCAGAATGCTAAATGTTAAAGGCAGAAAAGTCGATTGATACATTTTTTGTAAAATCAGTATTGTAGGTTGAGTAAGTTTTTATGGCCATCAAGAAGCTCCAAAGCCAAAACATTAACTTAAGAACTCGATTCGTATTTTTAAATAGCCTCACCAGTTCTATACTTTCATTTGGATTTTATGCATGACGTTCAACCCGTGCAGAAATCTCTAAACTGACAGCTGTGTAGAGATTTTCCAAGCGTAGCTTAAATGTGGCACAAAGCCGAAAGTATGGGGCATCCAGTGAGGATCGAACTCACTTTTCAGTATTAACAGATCTAGCAAGACAAGATTGCTAACCATTACACCACGCCGAGGTGCCCTCTCCCAAGCGTAGCTTAGATGTGGCACAAGGCCGAAAGTATGGGGCATCTAGTGAGGATCGAACTCACTTTTCAGTTGTAACTGATCTAGCGAGACAAGCTTGCTAACCACTACACGACGCCGAGGTACCCAAACTGCCAGCTGTGTATAGCCGTTCTCTCAGATCGATGATTAAAAAAAAATGGTCTCTATTAAATGAAGCCCGTATGGCTTATCCTTCTTCAAATCTCGTGGAAATATCTGTCCTTGATTTTACGATAAACTGGCAGCAAGGTCTCTGATCGGGAGATTAGAGATGTTGAGGAGAATGGCACCACCTCTTAATTGCTGTTTTACCAGCTTCACCCTGACCCGTGGTAGCAGCAATTGTTATGGTCCCATCTATGGACAAACAGTGAACCCCCAAACAAAACATTATGAAATTATAAAATTATATTTTATAGTAAGAACTAGCAGCATGGCCCGGCGTTGCCCGTGCTTGATTCAAAAATCGTACGACTCATACAGCAATCGCTATCACTTGACTTAAAATATTTTTGCCCTTCCTTGCCTTTAAAGGAGTGCCCTTTGCCGTGCTGATGTTGCTACATGCCTTACTTCTTGCCTATCTCACACTGCGAATTTTTTCTAAGCTCTATACTAAACATTAAATCTGTTACGAAAACAAGAACTAAACAAAATAAACACAAAACGATCAGTTTTAAAAAAGGACTCGTAACTGGAAAAACCGAATGAAAAAAGAATGTTAACAACAAATACTTTTCACACCCAACCCAGTTCTGCGGAATCAGAATCAACGTTGAGTTTAAGTAAATGAATGAGCCAATTGGAGTAAAGTGCTATGCAGATTTAAATTTTTCCCACTTGTGACGAATGCAGCTATGTGACACAAGGTCTTTTAAAAGGTTGCGCTGGCCTCGATGCGAGCACCGATCCCTCCCTCTGGTGCAATGGGAGGGCGCGGCCCCGGGCAGCTGTTACCCAGGGCTGAGCACCTCTTCAGTATAATTTTCTCAGTTGCCCCTCTGTACCGAGACAGAGAAGCCCCCCTGGGCGCACTCTGCCCAAAGACAGAGACGCAACTGAGAGATGATAAGCCATCTTAGCCAAAAGGCCGAGACGCGATAGTGATTTTCTAAGCACAGCTTAGATGTGGCACAAGGCCGAAAGTATGGGACACCCAGTGAGGATCGAACTCACTACTCAGTCGTGATTGATCTCGCAAGAAAGCTTTCTAACCATTACACCACGTCGAGGTGCCCTCAGCGAAAAAGACGCATCTTGGTCTTATGCCTCTTTCTTTTATTTATATTCTATCGTTATGCAGTCGGCCTGTTCTCAGTAAATGTTCCAGATTTTTCTATATTTCCCGAGGTCAGGTTATCTAAAATAAACTATAGCTGACCGTCTTTTAATAAAAGCCATTTACAAAAGAAAAAAATTTAATGTAAATTTCAACAACACAATATGAGTCATATAAGTGTTGATCTGCCAGACATTTCTCCTTCCTATTTCCGCTTGGAGGAATTGTGTGAAAGACTCGCTTGAAATCTTTACCGTTTTGCTCCATATCGCCATAACTTGTGAAAAAGTTATTGACTTTAGCCAAAGAGTCGCATCACTCATTCATGAGCCACGCTCGGATGAAAATGCGTAAGAAAGAGCTAATCATGTCTTTATCAGAACAACGAAAACACCTGCTTCACAAGCGTACAGCTACTCACTCCAGAGACATTCCATATCGTCAGACTATGCGGCACCTGAAAAGTATAATCACATAGAAAATTGTGGAAAAGTATTCAGTCAAACTTCTGACGAGCAATATGACTCAGCATTGTTCGGAAAATAATGGCTGTTAGAGTCGTTATGACAGATCGCTGAACTCCAAAAATAATATCGAATTCGCAGTTGGATAAACTTTTCTTTATTAATTTCTTTACTGAAAAGATGCAAAATTCTTATTGTTCTGATACCCCCCATATCTACCCCTGTCGACCCGCCAAGAAAAAAATTAGCTTGGGAGTAAGTTGATTTTATTTTTATTTTTTCATAAGATGATGGAGTATTGTCAGCCATTATGAATGTTTTTAATGTTAATCCTTTCAGATCCACGCTGTTTACTCACTGCCCTCGACTGACAATCTGAACAGTTGGAGTAAAAAAGCAACAAAAATTAAGATGAAAAAAATACTTATAAAAAATTAATAATAGTTGACAAGGCTTCATCTCATAAAAGAATTCAATTACTACTAATAATACTACTAGTAGAAATAAAGCAATTGAAATTAATATGAAAGAATTATTAGTCAAAAATGGTAGACAACATTGCATCATTAAAAATCGTGACAATTTTACTATTAATGCTCCCAGTTGAAAAGCAACTAAAATGAAAATGAAAAAAAATACGTTATAACTTAATAATGATCAACAATGTTTCATCTAATGAAATTCAATTACTACTGTTCGTCCTAAAAATCAATTGGAATTAAGATGAAAAAACGTAGTAGTCAAAAATTAATAATGGCTGACAATGCTTAATCTAATCAAAGCATTCCAGACAATTTGAATCTTAATACTCAGTCAGTCAAGCGTTATACGTGGTACATGCTTAGGTGACTATGTCTGTTTCGATCCAAAACTGACTAGAAGATTTTTTCGCAGTAGGTTACCATTTCCTTCTGCGCTAGACTGGCTAACAATTAAGGCTATGGGACCCAATCTGTCCTGCTATTCAATCCACAGCTGAGGGGAAGAAGAGATGGATCCATACCTTTCCCAAGGGTATTCGCGCGTAAGTTAATACATACGAACTCGACTGAGATTTGAACTCGGCTCACCGATTCCTTAATCCATTAAACCGCAATACACCCAATTTTGGGGGGACTCGCATTTTTTCATCATAATTCAAATTTAATCTATTAGCGTTTACTTCTAATACTTCTAGATCAGTGATTCTCAACCGAGATCTATATGGACCCTGATTGAGGGGGGGTCCATGTAACATTACTGGAGATCCACACAAGGAATAGCAAATTGTGGGGTGCACGGTAATATTTTAAGGATTTTATATAAAGGAAGCATATAATTTACTATTTCTATAATACAATTCCTAAACTTATCTATGAGTAAAAAATAAAATAAGCTTTTTGTTTCATAGAATGGTTACGGGGATCCACTGAAAATTATTAAGAGTAAAATTGGTCCATTATTTACATTATTTGGACTATTGTCCTCATCTTCAGGTGGTGACAGGAGCCAAAGAGTGTGAGTTCAATACCCGGTTAAGGCAGTGGAGAACTTTCAGAGGGAAATTAACAGGAGATAACTGATAGCTGACATCCATTAAAACATGGCACGTGGAACTAGAACAGTCTACACCAGTGAACGAAATAAAGGGTTCAGATCGACATTCCAACCACCTGAAGAAGGCCGGAGCGTGCAACGGCCGAAACGTTGTAATAAATATGGTGACAAAGATGAGGACAATAGTCCGAATAATGTAAATAATGTACATAATACCTCATCTCAGAAATATAGACAGATAATAAAAGTGGTCCATAGGTAAAAAAAAAAATGGTTGAGAACGACTGTTCTAGATGAAATACAATTTGAATTAGGATGAAAAAATGCGAGTAAAAAATTAAAAATGGTTGACAATGCTTCATTTAAT